ACGGCCACTAACTGAACTGCTGTAAGTCAAGGGCTACCTGTAAATCTGTCTACTAGATTCATAACCGCTGGTAGTATTCACCCCTGTCTCCTTTAAACCAGGGGCGGGTGAATTCCGCCGACAGTCGCCGTGTCGTTGTGGGCAGACGGATCAAGATGGGGTCGCTAATTGAGGGCAATGAATGCTGACCACCTCTGTCTCCACAGACACCTCACAGCTTTATGGGGAAAGCCCAGAGGATGACCTCGTTTCCCCTTTGGAGCACTGCATCCGGACGAAGTAAGCGCCACTCCCCTTCCCCATAGCAGAATAACAGAGTTGGAAGAGACCTTGGAGGTCTTCTAGTCCAGCCCTGTGGTCAGGCCGGAAAGCCGATACCCGCGATGGCGAACCTATGGAGCATGTGTGCCAGAAGTGGCACGCGGAGCTATTTCTGCCGGCCGGCGAGAGGTTCCTCGGAAGAGCCGCACTGCGCATGCGCGCGCCCCGCCAGCCATCTGATTGTCGGGCATCTGCTGTGCACGCCTGGGGGGAGACCTGTGCACGGGAGATGCGTGCCCATATGCAGAGCACACCCATAGGGTCGCATGCGCAGGGGGAGGGGCGTCCATGTGCGTTGCATCATGGGTGCAAGCGCGCGCACTTTCATGGAAAAGCTTAGCCCCCCCCCTGCCCTACACCATTGCAATCAAATGGCTGTCCAATCTCTTCTTTAAAAGCTCCAGTGTTGGAACATCCACAGCTTCTAGTGGCAAGCAGTTCCACTGGTCGATTGTCCTCCCTGTCAGGAAATTCCTCCTTATTTCTGAGTTGCTTCTCTCCTTGATGAGTTTCCACACGTTGCTTCTTCTCCTGCCTTCAGGGGCTCTGGAGAATAAACCGACCCCTTGGTTTTTTGTGACGAGCCTTCAAATATTGGGAGACTGCTATCGTGTCACTCCTCTTAGTTAAGAGTAGACCTATCTTCGTATGCTTTAACCTCCTGTCCCCTAATCATCTTAGGGTGTGTGTACATACATATACATATATACTCATATACACACACGTAAATTTACATTTAACCACACGTGTAAATTTACGTGTGTGTGTGCGCAGTGTGGATTCCTCTGCCCTTCTGCAGAGTTTCTGTTTTGTTCTAGTCCTTGGCTTGCAACAGTTCATTCAGTAAAGGCCGTAAAATGGGGCAAAATTCATGTCACAAATGTCTCACTCAGAGGCAGAAATCTTAGGCTCCGCTGTGGTTGTACGTCAAGGACTATCTGTATTTCTTTTTTTTTCCCTTTTTTTTTTTTACCCAAAAGTCACGTACCTTTGGGCAATTAATAAAGGCAATGTGGTTTCCGTGCCCTTACGCAGAATATCCTGTTCTGTTCTGCTCTTCTTTGTTCTCTACTCCACTACTATACAATTCCTATACTGTTGCATCTATTCACACTGTTGCCTCTGTGTCCCTTTGTACCAGCGTGCAGCAGCGATGCGGATCGCACAATCACAATCTCTTCTTGGCTTTCCAGGCCGCCTTCCTCACCCCTTTCCTTGCAGACATGGGGTGCAGATAAATAAATCTTTCCCCTTCGTTCTGATTCCCCGTACACATCAAAGGTGTGTACGCAGCAGACGCCCTTTAGCTAAAATATATTTTAAAAAATGGCTTCTATGGCAACCGGGAAGCTGCATGGCTCCAATCACCTCCATTGCCAATTATTTCCCGTGGATTTTATTATGATCATTATTTAGAATCCTACAAGGGGAAGAAGTGGGGGGAATTGCCGGGGTGTTTTAGCGGTCGCAGATGATTTGGTGGGGAGAAAAAAATATAATAAATTTCATAATGGTCTCCGGAGTTTGCAGATTGCAGAATGGATTTTTTTT